GTGATATGATTGCTTAGAGAGCATAGATGAAACTGATACCTAAACTTACTTTGTTATCGTAGGAACACTGGACTTATGATCCTTTCTCTGCGCACAAGACTGAGAATGGTGATATTTATGCCAGAGGAACTCAGGTTTGCAAGTTGCATTTAACAAAAATTATTAATATCACTAATAAGATATATAAATTCCTTCTACAGCATGTCAGGAAAATTGTTTTGGGGAAAATTCAAATGTACACAGTTTTACCTCCTAAATCCTTTAAGTTGTCCTTCCATCATTAATGTACTGTTTAAGTTTGCCAACTTAGGCACAGTGTTCTATTTAAACCTTTAACATGGGCATGCATACTAAAATGGAATTCAAGGCAAAATATGAAAAATGGTAATTTGAATATGACAAATTATAAGTTTTACTGTTGGTGATTCATTGTAACAGATATGTGTAGTTGATTTAGAGCCTTTCTAAATTTATTTCTGATTCAAACATTTCTTTTCAGGATATGAAATGTGTTGGCATCCAGTAAGTGCTCAAGAAATTGTGGTAACTTAAACAGTCTTATAGCACTTCCTGTACATTGTAGTGTTGTAGGATAGATAAACTGTATTTTCTTCTACCAGTTATTTCATTTATTCACCAAGCATAAGGCTAACATGGCTAGACTTTGGCCTTTTTTGTATTTGTTTATGTTCATCAAGGTTTATTTTAAATAATATGGTCTAGAGAAAATTTTTTCTTGAGGTTACAAAGTGGGTGACCTCATGCATCATGCCTGCTTGGTAAGCCATTCAGGTTCCAAGATTCCCTTTATCTTTTCCGATCCCTACTGAGCAAGTCAAATACTGTGTCATCATGATCAAATTCCTAAAGACGTCATTAATAAATGCTATGAAGAAGGTGGTACCTTACAGTTTTTTATTTAATATTTGTCTTTCATTTGTTCACAAAAGGTACATAGAGGCTGTTAGAAAGTTACGGTCTCAAGGAGTAACCCTTCGCAGAACTGTACACATGACTTTTGTTCCAGGTAACTTTTGAATTAAAGTTAGTGTAGAGCATTTTTTTTTAAGGAAAAGCTATAGTCAATAGAAGTGTCATGCATGGAGCAATGTCTTTCCCCTTGGATGGTGTGGTGGGGAGAGGGTTGGACAGATTATACCCAGGATTTTGATGAGATCTACATGTTAGCCAGGGGATTTTAACTTCCTTATGACCCTGGTACAGTGTGAGGATTTGTTTGGCAGTGCACCATCTTGGTAAAAACTGACAAGGCTGGTACCTTTGTTAATATGCTCACCATAACAAGATGGCAAAGGAACTCGACATATTCTGTCTGCAATAAAAGTTATATCTGCATCCAGAGTTTTTTTTTCATATATTTTGTTTAATATTCATGCCATATGCAGCATTACTAGATCCGTCACATGATTGCTGTGTACCAGGGCCTGTAAAGATTTCTTTGTCCCCAATCAGTTTATCCAAATGCTCTATTATTTTCTTTGCCTGAGATTCACTCAGAGTTTGAGGATTTTGACTGTTTGGGGCTGAAATAACGATTCAAATAAGAGGAAGAGATTCAGCAACTTCGGCGTGAAAAAAAAATGTTGATAGATAATAAGGGGCATATGCTGTCACAATCTTGAATAGTTTTGCATTAAGGAAAGGTTAGAAGAAACATTTGAAGAACCAAACAAACAGATCTTCAAACTTGGTTTTATAATAATTCTTTAGCTGGGAGGTATAACTATGGAAAATAAAACTGACAGTTTTGCAACAGCCAAGTCATTGCATACTCAAAGTACTTCTACTGTGTGAACCTTGACTGACATATTTTCTTTCTTTTCATTATTTTGGTTACCAGATGAAGAAATTGGAGGATCAAGTGGAATGAATGTATTTGTGGGATTGGATGATTTTAAATCTTTGAATGTTGGCTTTGCTTTGGATGAAGGTATGACCTTGGGTGCATCATTAGCTCTAAAAGGCCACATGGTTCCTTTCTCTATCCATAATCTTTTTATTCATTGCTTTTATTCAATTCCATCAGGGCTTGCAAACCCAACAGAAGCATTTACAATATTTTATGGAGAAAGGGGAGTATTGTGTAAGTGACCGAATTTCAGTTATTAATTTATTAAAATGTACTTTGAAATGATTGCAGTTTTTTGCTGTTAATATTGATTTTTTTCATTATTATGTCAACTTAGGGGTAAAAGTGACATGCAAAGGTTCGCCAGGGCATGGGTCCAGGTTTATTGAGGGTACTGCAGGTGAAAAGATGGTAAGTTTTGGCAGTCAAGTAGTCTCCTATGTAGCCATTTTTGTCTCATCACTCAGAGGTTTGTGTGACAAGACAAAAACAGCTGCACAGGAGACTATATAGCAGTTTTGCATGTTGGTTACAGTTCTATGTTAGATCCGCGATATAATCGTAAAACTGAAGGTTTACCAGCTCACTTTAATCAAGGTTGTGCTCTAGAGCATCCTAAAAGCTCTTCTACTACAAAATTTAATCTTGGATTCTAAGCCTTAATGTTTAGTGGAAAAGATAATAGTTACAGCCGAAGCTCTCAAAAGCAACCACCTCGGAAATTTCGAAAGAAGTGGTCGTAACCCAAGCTGGTCACTTACGAGAATGAGCTCTCGTAAGCATCTGCACAGTAAAACATTATAGGGTGGTCACTTGCGAGAGCTCTAGAAACTCATTAATAATTCATAAATATAAAACAAAAGAAATTAATGTTTGATGAGCGTCTTTATATCTGATATAGACACGGCTAAACTTTACGTTCAATGCTTTAGACCATCAGCGTAATGTGTAGTTTCATTAAACTGTTGATTGATCGTGAGTTATATGAATAAGACTCTGAAAGGTTGGTTACAAGAGCTTTAAAGTCCAGTTGGGTAATCCCAAAAGTGGTCGCAGTCTCCAAGGGAGCCGTCGCTTATGAAAGCTTTTCATTACAAAGTTTAAGTCACTGCATTCAAACGAGGTTTCACAAAGGTGGTTGTAACTAGAGCTTGGCAGTTATGAGAGTAGTTGCAAGGAGATCAGGTTTTGAGTACTGTATTCCCTTGTTACTCTGTATGAGTCCTTAAAGCAAAGAAAAGTATATGTTGCCAAAGAATTTCATCAGGTACGCTAGAGCATAACCCTCTGTATGACTTATTTCATACTTTTTTTATATTGTACTTACCATGTCTCATCTCTGACTGACTAAGAGCCCCTAGTACAATTAATTTTGGAAGTTAGCACAACCTACAGCGTGGATGAGTGACTTACCTGTCATGTCCTCAATATATATCTTTTATTGTAATTTTGGTTTACTAGTTGACAATACTTCTGATTTACACTTTGGTTCAACCGTCATTTTGAACTCTAAGTTACATATTACATTAGAGAGTGAATTATTATTATAATTATTATAATTATTATTATTATTATTATTATTATTGTTTGGATTGATAGTATTCTCAGTTGATTAATGTTTTCCTTGTTTACAGAGTAAAGTAGTTCAGTCATTTATGGCCTTCAGAGAAGAACAGAAGAAGAGGTATTTATACTCGTTTCTTTCTTCTTTTAATCGACTCCCCCTTGTATTCTCTTAAAAAGGATGTCAGTATTTAGGGGTGTGACTTCATGACTCCATTTAATAGAAAACAGGATCTCAGTATTTAATCTTTTAGTGCCTAGTGTTGTGCCTATCATATTCTGTAAAAAAATGTACAGGAAATGGTGTGCCTCACTCTCTATCAATAGTATTAATTTCTGTGAAATGTTGTTATCATTTCGTGAAAGAATTAGTTGAGAGAATTTGATGAAAGATCTAAGCATGTTCCCTTTGGTGATCATTTTTTCAAATCTCCTGACCTTTTCTCTTGATTATGAATTGATATAGCAGATATAGTCAGGGGAAAAATGATCTTGATTTCTCTTGGGACTTGCCAAGGGTTAACGGACCCTCTGCTTCATAGCTCTGTCCCATATAATGCCGTTGTAGAGAAGTGAGAGAAGTATTCTATTCTTATTTGGAGAAGTTTTCATATTTTACCTATAAAATAAGTTTGCCTTTGGCTAACACTTACGGTGAAAGGTCTGTGTACAACCACCTCCTGCCCTAAGAAAAAATCTGAGAAGAGTGGGCGGCTAAATGACTGATGCTGATTTTTTTTTTCAAGGTTAAGTGCAAATCCTGATCTAAGACTAGGAGATGTGACCACAACTAACTGGACTATGACTGAGGTTAAGTGTCTTGGATTAAGTGCCTTGTAATGATTTGTCTTCTAAATCCTCCGTAATGATTTACCGTCTTTCACGAGCAAGTAGCCTGTTGAATTCTTGCTCAACAGGATGTACAGCTTTATGCAATGCAGAATTTTATAATGCCTGCAGTGCAGGTGTAATCTGTTACACCCCTTGATATGGGCTTTGCTAGTATTGTTATGTAATAATTCTTTTCAGTATATCTTCTGCAGCAGTGAAGTGTAATACAACAGTCTATTTTCTGTAAGAGACTTAATCTCCGTCAACACGTATCCAAACGGAATTTTTTTTTCTCGGTTTTCGAAAAATACGCGTCCACATGTAACGTATTTCAATCGTCGCGAAAGCTGGAAATACGATCGATAGCATCCCTCACAAGGCATGCGCTGTACGATGTATGGCATCATCTTATTCGAAAACCTGCGTTTGCGTCTGTCCACACGAAAACGCTAAGCGCGCGTTTCCAAAAACTCCACTCTGGGGACCCTTTTCAAAAATATCCGAATACGTGTGGACGGGGCCTTTTAAAAATATACAGGGTATTAACCTCTCTCTGTTGACTGTTGGTGTAATATCATTGCAATCAAATGAGTAACCTTGTTACTGTTTGGATCCTAGGGAGGAGTTCAGCCCAACGTGATTCCAACGGAAATGTCATCAGGTGTGATATACTTATTGCTAAGAGAGTTACAAACTAGACCGATTAACAGCGGTATTATCCCGTTTGTCAAGAATGCGAACCCTTATCAAACGAAAGGGCTAGGGCCTAAGGTTATGTTGACACTATACCAAATAGCTCTTGCACCGTAGCGAAACCATCCCGGATAGTACTTCTGTTCACACATAAGTACGGTGATTTCGGCGCAAATTCTGTAACGGTGTGAGGCTGCTCCGCTTCGATCTCGAAAGTGGAGCGTCACTTATTGGATAGGAGCTGTGCCACACTTTGGTGCGGTGTGAACAGGTATTCGAACCGTCACGGAAGTGAATAAGTAGGAGCGAGGACTGGAACCCACTAAGACGAAGTGAATATTCGGGAGTGAGGACTTGGATTTAGTTCACCGTTGTTTATCCTCTGTGGTTACTCACCCAATACCACTGTACAACAACAGTGGCCTTCGTCTATAAAGTTCCACAACTATCGCGACGTCGAATGGACTAGTGAGTTTCAGAATTCCCTCTGTTTATTGCTGTTTCTTTTTAAAGAAAAGTTTTGTTTAGGAAATTCAGTTGCTTCTTTAAAACAAAGTAAGTGCCCTGTCCCGAACCAGTGCTCTATCTCGAATAAGCGCCTTCCCATGTAGGCTACCAAAAGTAAAAAAGCTCCCGGGCGCTATATCGAATCATTACTTAAAAACAACGAGCTTTCCTGGTTACAAGTAATTTTCCCAACTTATATCCAACTACAACTAATAATTACAACCAACCTTAATGGTGGTTATTTAATGACAGCGGTGAAAAGACCCAAGCATTCAACCTGTCTAGTATTCTAGCTATTCCATTCTTCTTGTTTTTTCCTTCAGGTGGCGTGCGCCATCTTTAATAACTTTTGTTTACTTCTAATTTTAGCAAATTTTTCTCCTTTCAGTGTTTGATATTCGGGTTACTCCAACAATGAAACTTGAGGTATTCAAAAGGCTGATTACTGATCAGTATCTCTGTTAGTCGGAACAAGTGAAAAGAAAGGCCCGTATTTTTTGTTTATTGATTCATTTATTTAGTTTTGGATTATTTATGTATTTATGTATTTATTTTTCGCGTTTGCTCTTCTTTTCACACCTTCCGATTAACTTAGAGCGTAGTTCAGGCTACATTTTGTAATAGGTATTTAGCAGCAGTTTTAACACTGGAAATTAACGACCTTATTCACCAAAAAAAAGTTTTGATTTCTCCTGATTCCCGCTTTAGTGATAAACTAACTTCTTGGGCTAACTAATGAGTACAGTGATCAGGGTTAAGCACTAACTCGAAATGGTTGGCTTTCATTTACTTTTAGGGTTGTCGCTATAAGATCTGTAAATGAAAATTGGTCTGCTCAGCAAATCTACCGTGTTTTAGCGGTATGGGCAATGGACGCGCAGGATCGATTCCTTACAAGCCCACTTTGACAGTTTTTCTTCTTAAAATTTTTGAAGAGACTTAGTATTTCCATGAAAATTTAAGTGAGAGGTAATGGTCGGTTTAGAGGATGGAAACGATTTATAACCATCACGGCTACATTTTATTGCGTGAGCTAATGAGGTGTCAAAAAGGCAAAAGACGTTTGTTCAATGCTTATGATATAATTATCATAAAGACACGACATTTTACGTGGGCCACTTATTGAAACAGACCTTGAGCCAGTGCTTGAAGAGAAACTGATTTCTAAGCCTTTATTTTTTGACGGAAAAACTTTGAAAGTGATCGTGGTCTGATCATTTAAGGTCGTCCTGTTTCTTTTAACTTCCCTGTTAAGCCTTTAAGACCCAAGAGTGACCAACATCAATTTTCTCCTAAAAATATCAATACATTATCAAAAGACAAGGTTATGAGATTTAATAAAATGATCACCTCAGGGAAAATGCTTTGATCTTTTATCAAATTCTCCCAACTAATTCGTTAAGGAAATGTATGGAGATCAGTTTGGAGAATTTGTAAGTGGATATCGGGGTTAAAGGAGCTGTGTCACGAAATTATCAAAATTATCAAAATTCAAACGGAGGGAACTGCCGCCAAATTGAGTGAAACATTAAAATAATCGCTCAAAAATCTAGAAGAAGGTATAACTGACACAACAAATACAAAAGGAGGCTTCGGATGGATAAACTTGATGAAGATTGAAACGGATTGCAGTTGTGGTTTTTGAAAACTTGCAAGCCTAACAGTTTTTCGAAGTTCATTTTTGTTGTTTGTATCGATTGATATAATGCTCGGGATACATGTTCAGTTTGACGCAAAGCTGTGATTTAGTCATTCACAGGTAATTTCTCAGCTTTCATAGCGAATACGCTCGAATAAGAACGGGTAGCCGGCCCTATAAACAAAATGAACTATAAACAGCCGAATGTCTTTAAATTTCCGGACTTAACTGTTCAAAGACTAGCTCAGTCGGTATCGCGCTGAACTGCAGCGCTGGAGGTTATTGGTTTGGATTCCTGTGTCAACCAGAAATTGGGGTATTGAGAAATGAATTTACTTACTTTGCCCTGCGAAAGCCAAGATTTATTCATGATACGGATGAACTGGGAGAAGTAGCAAAGGAGACGCAAAAACTGTGTCCGTAATTAGCACTTAATGCTTCTTTTTTTCCTTTCATTTACTTAGGAGGTTGAAAATAAAGTTAAACAGTGGTGTGTAGAGGCGGGAGAAGATGTATCATATCAGATCCTACAGGTATTTAGTATACTCCCCACTTTCCACGTGCGTCATGATATACAAGTTGAACCTCTATTAAGCAGCCATTAAACTCATCACCAATAGATGAGCTTGGGCGTTGGTGCCTTCGAAGTTGGTGGAGCCGGGCAATGCACTAGCATGAGGAGGAGGTATCCATGGCAACCCTGCGAGCGGCCCCCACCCAACCGGGATCTCCTTGGTGCTTGAAAAAGGAGGGGCCAGCGAACAAGGGAGAAATGGAACCTCCGACTCCAACAACCCCAAGCACCAAGCGCAGCAGTTGCATCGAAAAACAAACACTTACCAATTGAAAGCAGCTGACAGGGAGAGCAACACCCAAAAACTGCAGTGCAAGCCCCGAGCAATTTGATGCTAAACTCGACCGCAATGTAGAAGGAGCTGTGAATGACCAACGGCAAGGACACACGATGTCAAGCCAGCTGACCAGAGAAGCCCGCAAGAGCTTCCGACGGCGTGCGAATATAAAGCTGGTATGCGTTGCTAGTCCAACGTCCAAGAGCCTGAATCAGGTGATCAGGAATGCCGTTGCGAGCTGCTACCGTGGCTGCCCCAATGCGGAAGCTGTGGCTGGAGAAATTTCCCTCAATCCCCGCGGTAGAGAAAATTTGCCGCAGCCAATCGATCAAAATTGCGCGAGACAGAGGTTGACCACTCGCAAGAAGGAACAAGGGGCCAGGGGCCTTTCCTCGTATGGAGAGGTATGCCAGCAAAGCGTGCACTGCGCAGAGGGGGGCCCTTCCCAGACCAATATGGATGTGGCAGCCTTGACGGAACGGATCCGTTTTCGAGGCTTTTATCCTAACACGGAGGCAGGTTGGCGACTGGCGCGAATCCACTGCGATGTCAGCCACTGAAAGATGAATAGCTGGAGAAAAGCTGGCTAAATTGGGGACTGTAAATTCAGCAGCACGGAGAAAACCAAAATAACCCAGCATGCAGGCTGCCCAAAAGGCGCAATGATCGAAAAGCTTGAAGTCCAACGCCCGATGAATGACCAAGAGAAGGCTGTCAGTAATCGGAAGGCGCTGAGCAGCCGGGGAACCCTGGGAACGCTTGACCCCTCTCAACACTCGTTGAAGCCGCAGGCAATTAAGCAGAGGGTCAGGAAAACCTTGTTCAATGTGCAAGGAGCGAACTGCAGATAAATAAACTTTAATAGAAGAATGCTGAATCGAATCTGCAAGAAATGAAACGAACAAACATAAAGTCCACTCGTCTGCAGGGCAAGGCGAGCCATTGGAGTGGAGCTTTCCAGCTTGGCGGCAAAATTCCACGAACTTGCGTTGACCTGACGCATAAGCTTTTCGGGTGGAAGGAGCCAGACCCTGGGCCAAGAAATGCAAGCACCGTTGTTCTAGGGAGGAGGTGTTAAGCTGTCCAACAGGAGCTGCGGAATCGGACAAGGGGACGAATGAGCCTCCGGGGCCAGCTGCCTGAACTCCTGCCAACGGAAACGAGAGATAGCATCAGCAATTTTGTTCTCGACCCCAGGAACATGAGCAGCAGTGAAAGTAAAACCCCAACGCGCCGCCGAGAGCAGAAGATCACGGAGAAGGTGCATTAAAGCTGGAACCTTCGAAGTCCTGGTCGTGAGAATCGCGACTACAGCCTCGTTATCTGAGCGAAAAAGAACATGCTTCCTGGCCCACAACGATCCCCAAAGATGAGCAGCAATCACTACAGGAAAGAGTTCTTGGTATGCAATAGATTGCCTGGCCTGCACCGTTGACCAGGCACCATAAAACCACTGGCCTTGAGAATAGGCGCCAAAGCCAATCGCACCTGCTGCATCCGAAGTGACCTCCAAATCTGTGGCAGCAGACATGCCAGGGTACAACCAGAACCCAACGCCATGCCAAGAAGCTAGAAACTGCTGCCACCACTGAAGGTCAAGACGAAATTCCTGGTTAATCCGAACAGGATGGTCCTTGTTACGGAAGCAGCACAGTAAATCAATAAACCGACGGAGAAAGGCCCTCCCTGGCCAAACTACTTTAGCCGCATGGTGTAAATGGCCAATAAGGGACTCCAATTCCCGCTTTCTGCACCAGCGACGGGGCATCCACGAATGAATGAGTTCCCTTAGTGCAAGCAATTTGTCCTCAGGAAGACGGGCCACTTGGTTGACGGAGTCTAATTCAATTCCTAAGATAGTCATAGAAGTGGCTGGACCCACACATTTGTTAGCGTGAAGAGGCAACCCCAGCCGATGGCAAACAGAGATTGCTGTGTTAAGATTATAAGCACACTGGAGTGACTGTGGAGGACCTGCGGTAATAAAGTCATCCAAATAATGTAACAGATCGGAAAGGCGATGCTTATGGAGAAGGATCCATTCAACCATATCAGCTACTGAATTGAAAATAAATGGTGCAGAACGGAGACCGAAAGGAAGCGAGAGGTCAACGTAGAACTGACCACGCCACCTCATGCCCAGTAAGAAGCGGTCATCTGGATGGACTGGGATGTTCCGATAAGCGGATTCCACATCAAATTTTGCCATAAGGGCACCTGGGCCATGACGGGAGACCATGCGAATAACTTGATCAACCTTAATATACTGCAGAGAAAAATCCTGAGGATCAATGCCGTCGTTAACACTAGCACCCCCTGGGGAAGACAAATCGACTATCAAGCGCCACTTGCCTGGCTGGCCCTTCTTTGGAATGACCCCAAAACTGCTAATATGCAAACGAGGAAAAGGGGGGGAGGCGAAGGGGCCTGCAACCCTGCCCAGGGAGACTTCATTAGCCAGATACGCATCAACAATGTGGGCATGGAGAAGAGCAGAGGGCTTGTTTCTTTTAGCTGGCTTAAGCTTGTGAGCTGAGTCGAAGCCTAACTGAAAGCCATGCTGGAGACCCTGGAGGACATAAGAAACTTGTTGCTGGTCAGGATGACTGGCCAATTCCTTTGAAAACTCCTCCACCTTAAGGGGACTAACTGCTGATACAGGAGGGAGAACTGGATGAGCTGGGAAGAAAAAAGGCTATTTTAAAATAAGGCCGAGCCAGGCTGGAAAGGGGCAAACCAAAGAGAGAACTTTTGAACAACAAACCACAAACTCAAACAACTTGACAACTTTATTGCAGCAAATATGGCCCGACCTAGCTACTGTTGACAAAAATTAGGTAACACAACGTAAGAAGTAATTCGATGACTAAACGTCAGGAAACATGGGAAAAAAAACAAAAACAAAAACAAAAACAAAAAACAAAAACAAAAACAAAAACAAAAAACAAAAAACTAAAGGCAATCAACGCATATAAAAAAACAAGGCAGAAAAAACAATCAGGAAAACAAACAAGGCACATCCATTAACGCCTGGTTTTCGAGGTGGACGAGGGCACGGAGGGAGGAGAAGCCGATCTACGTTTGCGATCGTGTGACGATGTTTTGTCAAAACGACGAGAGCATTCTGACGCACGGTGGGAACCTGCACAGGTGCTGCAGCGATGGGCAAACCGACACGAAGCAAACTGTGCCGAACAGCGGCCCCTGTTCCAAGACCGGCAAATGACCTGGGAGGAGTCAGCTCCAGATGGTTCGGGTAGCTCGCTCAAGGAACCACCAGACCCAGAACGCACCGAGGCCCCAGCAGCGTGAAAATTGTAAAGCTGAACGTTCATGGTCGACCAGTCCACGAGCTTCGTCGCCGCAGCGTGCTGGCGGAAGGCCTGATCGTAGGCCAGCCAAACACGACCACTGAACTGGCGGTACGTGCGCAGGATGAGAAGCTTGTAAGAAGTTAAGTCTTTCCAGCGGTGCGGAAAATAAGACGTCAGAATCAGCGTAAAAATTGTAAAGGCTTCGGACCAGGTCACGATGTCCTCGATGCGTCGACGTTGCTTTTTAGCGCTTGGCAAAAACACTAACCGGCCGTCCAGGAATGCTTGCGATTCCGGCTCCGTCTGAACAATGTTGACTGACAGCAAATCCCCCAAATCCACGTACTTGCCGGCAACAATTTGGCTAACCGTTTTCGCCGGAATTGGTGAAAAACCGGGGCCAACTACAAACGGCTGTTGGAGTAGCGGTCCCGATGGCAGGTTTGCAGCCAAGGTGCTGTCGCTGAGTGGCACCGGGACAGAAGCGCCCGCCGTGATCGACGTGCTTAAAATCGGCGAGCGCGGGGTTGCAAAAGTGGCAACAAAGGATGGCACAGTAAAATTAGGCCTACCTTGCGTGGCTGAAGGTGAAGATATCGCCTGTTGCTCCGGAAAGGCGCCTCCAGAAGCTAGAAAGGTCGCCGTTTGCTGCGACAAGCTGGGCGATGGGGCTGGAACGCCCCCAAAAGCTGCTTGTGGCCCCACGCTATCACAATTTCCACGCAGATTGCTCGAGCTAGAACCAGGACCTTTTTCTGCCGCTAACGAGGCTTTCACGGCATCGACGATTGCAGCGATTAGAGCGGGATAGTGGACACCAGCAGCAACAACTGGAGCGGAAACGGTCGAAGATGTTTGTGGCGCCGTGTTTGCCACAGAAGCGAGCGACGAAGGACCAGACAACTCGGCCTGCAAAAAGGTATCCGATGACGAGTTCTCCCCATCCAATGAGCAGCCAAACTATTGTTGGTTCGACGAGCAGTCATTGTACAAGCAGAAAAACAGCAAGCAAGCAAAACCAAAGCACAAACTGGCACGCAAACAGCAAGCAATTGAAACAACACTTTGCGAAGAACTGCAAGCAAGCAACTGCGTATATAAGTCACGAGGTGCCCCTGCCGGAGACATCGGGCCACCCCTAATATAGCTGGGGAAACAGCTGACCAGCATTGTTTCGAGGTTAACTTTGCCTAAATTACATTTAGCCACATGTAATCAAAGGCCCGAAATAATTGTAGAAAAGAATGGGAACTGAAACCTCTTTAAGGCGGCCACGGCCACCTTTTGGCTCTCCAAACGAGAGTTCTATTGTTGAAATTAAATTAGAGTTCTATTGTTCTATTAAGCGGCCATCAAGCACTTGACACACATAGTTTGGCTTTGGCTTCATGAAATAAAAGTCCGAGATAGAAGGCGATGACTAATTGTGGACCGGTAATGCTACTCCTGTCACGTGTTTGTTTCAAAATAAAGTGATGTTTCTGTTAAACATTGTGCTAAATTATGACGAACCTCTCTTGAGCGGCTTACCTCCATGAAGCGGCCACTTGACGGTATCCCAGGGGTGGCCTCTTAACTTAACACTAATAAGGCCAGGTTCAACTGTAATATAAAAGCCCAGTAGAAGAGTTAGCAAGTGCGGTGAGCGTTTCCGTGCGTGCAGTTCAGGTATTAGGAAGCTTAAGCAAAGGTGTTGTTGAGCGGCGCGCGTCCACTGGTAGTAGGGCCTTTTCTCTTTTTTTATGCCTGGACGCTACCAAATTTGTTTTGCCAATTGCCTTTACTGTTACAGAGACGATCTGGCCGAAAAAGTACGCAAAACCACTGCGCAAGAATGAAAAACTCCTCATTCAGTTGACGTAAATATTTTCTACGTCGCCTGAAACATGTTTCTTCTTGGTTTCTTCTTCAGTTTCTTACTTGTACACAACTTCTGCTTAATATTTTCTTCTGAGCCTTCACTTGCTCACATCCGGAATAATCTCGTGAACGTTTTCAAAGTTTTGCTCCTTGTAGGACAAAACAAATAAAACAATTTGTCTGCGGATTTCCTTACTCTGATAGATTATGAGCTATGACCAATCACAGCACGCGTAGTGTGCAAAACTTAGTGTTGATCTGAAATGTCGGTTTCATTAGAAATGGACAATTTGTAGTATTGGCAACACAAATATGAATGCTTTTCTTTTACTTTGATCGCAGAAAACTGGAACTGCTGTGTTGACGTCAACGTCCGAAGATGATCCTTGGTGGAATGCTTTCAGTACAGCTTGCACGAAAATGTAAGTAGTATAACAATGTCATGTTTTAAACCAATTTCTGCTCTTGTTATGACCTCGCTCTCATGTTTCCCTTATCCTTGATTACGTCATCATCAGGAAACTAGGGATTTACGAAACGACGACGTCGAAAGCAGCTTCTCTAAGTTCTGCTGTTGCAGCCGCCATTGCAATTATTCCAGTTGGCTCCTTTTTTTAGCGGAGCCTATGCTCGACAGTAATTGATTCGATTTTGTGGAGCTGAATTGCCGAGGCTGCATCCAAGTTTAGTACAAGAAATGCAGCCTCGGCAATTCAGCTCCACAATATCGAATCAATTACTGTCGAGCATTATGCTCGACAGTAATTGATTCGATTTTGTGGAGCTGAATTGCCGAGGCTGCATCCAAGTTTAGTACAAGAAAGGCCGTCGTCGTGTCTTGACGTCTCTTTCGCGAGACTTCGCACGGCAAACTGGAAAAAATGGAGCTTAAAAGACTAACTTTTAAAACACGTTTTAAGACTAATATTGGAGCTCAAATCTTTGGCGGGTAACTGTGCTGTTTCAGGCGGATAAATGTCTTCTGACTTTTGTTCCATGCAGACTAGACACTGTTTGTGATAAACAAAGTGTAGGTACTAAGATAGCCAAATTAGAAATGACTTTGACTCGTTTTTGCTAAACATCAGCTCGACTCCGTCTTAACAACCGATCCTCTGTTTTTGGACGTTATCTTTGCTGTCGTTGACTTAGGTCCGTAAGGTCTCCTTCTTGTCGATGATGACATAGATTAAGAGAGAGCGATTTTGAGCGACGTTACTATTGTTAAAGGTATTTATTTCTTTTCTGAACTGCCTCAGCAAATCAGATCAGAGTTGACCTTTCAATCCACCACAAGCTCAAATATTGCAAGTCTTTGCATGTATTTGCACATGTTCCCACACTAAGAATTTAGTACCATTTCCATTCTCTCCCCACTTACAACTTTCTTTAGAGTTAGCCTGCCCGCATAGCAGTTGTCGAAAGGGGATTAGGAGGCTATTTCCTGATTGTATATTGATTGATATATAGTTTTCTCTTTAGTTATACGGAAGATATATGCCATATGAGACTTATTTTACCATGACAAACGAAAAAAGGACTTCTAACATTCTAATAATATAGTGATTAGTAGATAGCTGAAGAGTTTAATTTTGTGGATTTTTTTTTCAGGGAAATGAAAATAGAGAAAGAAATTTTTTCCGCCGCAACAGACAGTCGTTTCCTTCGTGAGGTAACAAAACATTTGACATCAGATACTGTATTTGCTAATAATTTAAGTTTAGAAAGTAGCTAAGCACTCCCTTCTTTGTCCTAAGTGGGTATATGTTGCCGACCAGGGTATGAATTTCGGGTGACTTGAGCCTGAGACAGGGTGTGCAGTTTAACTCTTTAGCATCTTGTTCAGGATGTTTTTCTTGTTTGGCTCACGGTCTGCATCCGAGTTGCGAGTCTTTGTTTATACTTCCAAAAAGTTCATCAACTCCAAGTTAAAGGAATGAAGATGGTGTTCGTAAACAAAGTGTAATATTTGGGCCACGAAAAAGATGTCTCTTGTGTTAAACAGGGTAGCGAAATGAGCAATCATTGTCTTAGACAAGATCAGGGTTTGATGGTCTCGGTGGAACACCCCCACTCAAACCCCGGGTTTTGGGGGACGAAAGCTTCTTTGCCTAAACATGTTTGTTTTGTTCTTCTCGTGCGTATCTTAGAAAAACTCGTTTCCCACACTGTTGACCCAACTATTAACGGTGTTTTATCAAGCATTAATTTGTTAGTCTATTTTGAACTTAAAAACCTTGTTTCCTCGAAAGTTCATGATTATAACAAAACTCTCGAATCTGATTGGCTATTAAGAGTCCTGTTAGAGCACTTAAAATCGGTCAATGCAATTGGACATAAAGCTTCATCACGTGCTCATGAACATTTGTTGAGCAGAAATTTCATAGAACTTTTAAGAAGAGACTTAATCCCGGACGAACAGCAAATACAAGTTGGTGTACGGGTCCCGTACAAATAGTCACTAATTTGCGTTGCACTTATTCATATAATAACAGACCGAATGCTATTATTTAATCTTGTCTCCTTTTCTTTCCAGCTTGGTTATCCTGCTATCGGTTTTTCACCAATGAACAACACTCCGATTCTTCTTCACGATCACAACGAGTTTCTCAATGAAAATGTCTTTCTGCGAGGAATTGAAATCTACTGCGAGTTAATAACTGCTTTAGGAAATGTGGAGCCGTTTTGATGTTTGTTTCTTCATATATTTTTTTTCAATTGGCATTGTTTTAAAAATATATTTCTACAGTAATATTTTTGTAGACATTTTAGGGATCTATTAAGTACAGTGGAACAGTGGAGCCAAAGGTGAAAAGAAGGCGTTATGATCGGAATTTTATTGTGAATGCAATTCATTAAAAAATAAAGTGCAAGTCATAAAATGACTTCATACCACGGAAAAAAGAAAAAAAATGTTAAGTAATTACTGCTTAGACCTATCAGGTTTCGGTTTTTACACACTTGCTTGGTTCAAACTTCGCTTGTTTTAAGTTATTGTTTTCTTCCTTCTCAGTTGTCAATCTTTGAATGAAATCATGTGAATTGTAACCTTTCAAGAGGGCTAGAAATCAGCGGCCGGTCAGTGGATAGTCTGCTACGCAGTCGTTTTTAGTGTCGTCACGCTGAGGAGGAGCGTTGCGTGACGACACTAAAAACGGCTGTGTAGCAGACTGACCTGGAGACAGCTTTCCGCAGATTTGAGGATATTGCTATGGCGACAAGAGGAGCCCGCAGTCTTAATCTGCAGGTTGTTGTTACGCATGCGTTGCATGTATGTAGCCAGCATTCGTTTGGATTTCCACTAAGAATGAATGGAACGCAATTTAATCACGCACGTTTCGACCTTCTACCCCTCGTCATCTGATCACGCGTGTTTTGACCATCTGTCACGTGAAACTTACGCAAAGTACAGCGTTGGAGCAAAAGCGTTTGGACCTCCCATCGTTGTCGCCCGTACTCCCTAACCTTTGGTTATTACCAGTATATAAATTTTTAATGAAGATCTGACTGTCGCAGTTTTAAAAGCAATTTAAGCAATTGCATATTAACCCGAAAACAATTTCGAACGCTTCAGCAGGATTCGAACCCATGGCCTCATGGCGCTATTACTGCGGTGTTCATATATTGGGAGTAGGCCAATTCGTGGAGTTTATCTTACTTCCGTGAAAGATTTTCTGAAGATGATCATATCTTCCGTCATTCAAATTTGTATTTCCGCAGTTTACATCATCTTCACAATAAAATGATGGTGTAACGGTTAAGAAACGTAGTTTCATCATGTTTATCAGGACCAGGGCCAATCAGAACACGAGTAACTATTGCCGTAGAAATTAAACGCAGATAATTTTTCCTTTACCAAGTAAAATTTGTTGTACCAACATGTACAGGAAAAAGACAAGTATTTTAAGGTACACAGAATCAGAGATCCCATGGGTGGAAACAGGGGTTGGCTGAGTGGACCACGGCCACCCCTTTCTCTGTGAAATTTTAAATTTTTTTTGAACAATTGTCAACAAAATAAATCGTATCTATATGGCTGGCAAGTGTCCTTGTCGCCCCTTTCTGAATTTTCAGGATCCGCCTCTGGTGAACGACTTTAGAACACAAATACGAAAACTTGATCCATGAGACATCGTTTCCAATCAGTGTAAAGTTGTTATTTCTGTAGCAAATAGATAGATATAGCTTTGGCTCAATATATCTGGTGATGGTACATGTGTTTGATGTAATTTTCTACCGGCTCAGTTATTTTATTAACGTGTTACTATATTTAAATTCAGACTAAACTAGAAACAGTTGTGGGGCTTGTATTTTAAGTAGTTTGTATATTTAGTATTTCTAGTATTTATCAATATTTTTATCGCTGTGTTTTGTTTCTGGTACAGTAAAACCTAGTCTGCATACAGCCGTTTTTTTCGGCGTCTCCCCGAGGAGCATTCCAAGACGACACTAAAAACGGCTATGTAGCAGACTAGTAAAACCCCGCGACTAAGAACCTGGGTTTTTTTCATGGTATCCTTAACAGGCTCTGAAATAAATGATAGTTAGCACATTATAACTATAGCGTCTAGGAGCGATTTGCGTCGGGTTCTTCACGTACGAGTTTCATCAGATTATTACAGATTTCCCTTAAACATGGTATTTGCAGCTTATTTTCTAAAAAAATGCGATTTGTTGTCCCAGGGTGGGGCATTTGTAACCTGGACTTCACTGGACTTCAGTGAGCCATAACCTATCCACTTTTGCTTGGGGATGCATCGCATTATGGATTGTCAGCAACTTCCTAGTCTTTCTCAGTCTATCTTTCTAAGTTCCTTCTTAGTCCATTTAGTAATCCCGACTCCTTCTGAAGTATTATTATTGTCATTATTATAATTATAATTATCATTATCATTATCTTCACTATTATTATTTCTTTTACCGCGGACCCGCCGAGCATACCTGTCTGGGGCTTATGATACAGTCATACTCAATGGAAAATTTAAATGGGAAACAATGGGCTCCTATTAGCTACCTCGTTAAATTCTACAGAGCAATCGATGCAGTTTAAGTTGGTTGCACACTGTGGCTGGATTTCTAAAGAATTCCTTCGTGCATTTTTTCGACATTTAGTGATAATTCAGTTTGATCTCATTGCATGACGGGACGCTTTACCATCCTGGGTAATGCGTATTCAAGCTGCGTACCTGGAAGGTTTTTTCAGGGCGTAAGGAGCCACTGGTTTTTTTGCATTTTCGACCGCAGTTCTCACGGGTCTGGGGTCGAGATTGGTTTTCTTGGTGTATTATTATTATTTTTTTTTGTAGTTTGCAAAGTAAAAAATTAGAGCGGCTTGAATTCCGAAGCGAGGTCAAAACAGAAAACGATGTTTTTTTTGCGACTTCGATTCAGCTTCCGCGCGGCTTTAACTCTTACTTTGCGAACCAGAGAGGTTGGACAGCTGTTGTGTGCCTATTTGTCACCAATGAAAAAAAAAAAACACCAAAAACCGCCAGCTGCGTAGGCTTTCGCTCTCCCAGTTCTCACGTGGATAACCTGCGGCTGCAGTATTCATAATGCGGGCACAGGGGGCACGAGAAACGCAAAACATAATTTGATACTACCAAAAGTTACGACTGGTATGGCCAAAAATGCTTTAAAGTTTTCAGCAGCTAGGAGCTGGAACGAACTCCCAAAAGACGTCAAAGAGGCCCAGTCGATCAGTACATTTTTGCTGAACAGAAACTTCAAAACGTACCTTTCATGACCATAATCTTTGTAACAATTGTTTTTAAGGGGAACTTTTTTAATTATGTATATTTATTTTATATTTAGTTCATTTATCATTTTATTTTATGTTTAATTTTTTTGCTGAGGGTGACGCGTACATTATCTGTGGATCATGGCAAGTGATCCCTCATTAAAAAAGTATCTACCGTCTCTAACGTGTGGCACGAAATTTTTTGCGGGAGTTTATTTTTGCGGAGACTAACTTTTGCGATTAGGACGGTTGGTTTTTCTTGCTGGGAATTAATTTTTGCGATGATAAGAAAGTACCCAATACTCAGGTATGCAGGACACCTAGCACTGATAATATTTTCTTTTTTGTCAGGTACGTGCAATGGAAATACATATTTTTAAATAATTGAACAGACACGATTTCTTAGTACCGTATTTTTGTGTAGCGAGTTTAAGTTAGAGAACATTTTCTCTGGAGTAAATTTTTGCGGGAAAAATGTTTGCGCTAGTTATATTTGGGGGAACCAGGGGACCCCTGGCGGGAACTTATTCTTGCGGATCGCTGGAAAAATCGCAAAGCAATCTATCTATTGAGCCCACCATGGCAAACCGGTATCAGCGGCTTTTCAAAGGACACGCGATTGAAAATGGCGGTTCAGTTTTCTCCTGTTCGTTCTCTTCAGGACTTTATCACAGATGCTCAGTTTACTGCCCCAACTTTTCATGACAGAGATAGGATGGAGAACAGAATGGTTAACAATCTGATATATTACCAAACAAACTACTTTCTATGTGCCATTCTTATTCTCATTTTGGTTGGGTAAGTCGTAATAGCTGAAAGTTTTCAAGCGAGGTTTAGGGACATTCGGACCTTTCAAAAATATTGGCTTAGTTTATTTTAGTGACCTCAAGAAATAGTAACTGAAAGAGTTTTCGAAATTTCTCTTGTTCGAGTCTGTTTAGTTGGTTGATCAGAGCTTTGGCTTGCCCCAGATTTTTGTAGAGCTGAGCAGGGACATTGATGTGGTCTGGGCCGTTCAAAACCCCACCAACCACAGGGCATCCAGGCTCCTTATGACGTCCTCTTGGTTCCAAAAACATATAATAAGGGAAAGTTCATTTAATATGACAAGGGGGGGGGGGGGGGGGTTGAA